AGGAAAACAATACTTTTTTTTTTTTAAGAGACAGAGTGTCACTTTGTTGCCCTCAGTAGAGTCCCGTGGCATCACAGCTCACAGCAGCCTCCAGCTCTTGGGCTTAGGCGATTCTCTTGTCTTAGCCTCCCAAGTAGCTGGGACTACAAGCACCAGCCACAATGCCTGGCTATTTTTTGGTTGCAGTTTGGCCAAGGCTGGGCTTGAACTTGACACCCTCGGTATATGGGGCTGGTGCCCTACACTGAGCCATAGGCGCCACCCAGGAAAACAATACTTTTTTAATAATAAAACACTATACTTTTATAAGAAAACTCTGAACTTTAATTGGAAGATGATGAAATTATAGCAAAATTACTATAAACTATCATTTTATAATTCTTGATCTCTTATTTTTGCTTTTTCTACTGATTCCTTATATACTAGGTTCTCCAAAAATTGATTATACACATATACAACTAGTGTTTTAATGACTGCTTTTCCATTTTTTTAGTTATTGGCTTCCGTTGAGCAGAAGTAATATAATGGAAGTTCCCTTTCTTGTTTTTTTCTTTTAAGACTATAAATTAAGAGTTAAAGGAAAAATGTGGCTCAGCACCTGTAGCTCAGTGGCTAGGGTCCCAGCCACATACACTGGACCTGGCAGGTTTGAACCCAGCCTGGGCCTGCCAAACAATAATGACAACTACAACCAAAAAATAGCCGGGCATTATGGTGGGTGCCTGTAGTCCCAGCTACTTAGGAAGCTAAGGCAAGAGAATCGCTTAAGCCCTAGAGTTTGAGGTTGCAGTCAGCTGTGATGCCACCACTCTACTGAGGGCGACATAGTGAGACTCTGTCCCCCCCAAAAAATAAAATAAAATAATAATGAAAAATGTTCTTCCCTTTAATGCTATAGTATAATTTAAGTAGAAACAATGATATAAAATCCTCCTTAAATTAAATTTAAAGAAAGCAATTTCATCTTAAGACATATTTCATAGGCTTGGCGCCTGTGGCTCAAGCGGCTAAGGCGCCAGCCACATACACCTAAGGTC